CCGAGCCACAGCCTCCAGAGATGCTGCGGGTCTAGGAGCGGGCCTTTGGAGAGCCTGGTCTACCTCTTCCTGCGCTGGAGCCTGGGGCTCCCAGCTGCTCCTGGGCGGTTCTCAACCTCCACGCTGCCTCTCCTTGCACTCACCTGGCCCAGGTGCCTGTGCAGTGTCTGGCCTATGACCCGGTCTCACTTCTCCGTGGAGGGCAGACATTGAGAGTGAAGACAGGCTTGGCTTGTAACCCCCAGTGCCCACCAGCTCTGTGACTCTGAGCAAGCGCCCCCACCCCTCTGAGCCCTGTGGTGGTACTGAAGGTGTGATGGGGCCCTTACACTGTGGGGCTGGCCAAGAGCCCGGTGCTGTGGCTCCGTCTCCTCACTGGCGCCCCTTCTCTGCCCCCCCAACCCCCCAGATTGTCCTCGACGTGGGCTGCGGCTCTGGCATCCTCTCATTTTTCGCCGCCCAGGCTGGAGCGAGGAAGATCTACGCCGTGGAGGCCAGCACCATGGCCCAGCATGCAGAGGTCAGTGGCCTGTCGCCGGACGCCCCCAGACCCTGGTCCTGCTTGGGAGGGGGAGGCCTTCAAGTCTCGGGGAGCCTGAGGCTCTTCGATGTCCCAAACCTGAGTGCTGAGGAGGGGGGGGGCTTCCTGCGTCTGAGGTGGTGTCCCCTCCGAACTGGCTGGTCTTCTGCCGAGGCATGGGCCGCTGAGGGGATTGGGAGGCTGGCCAGCCTAGTAGTGCAGGGGTGAGCTATGAAGTCCCGGTGCCCTGGCAGCACGGGGCCACCTCCCTTGGGGCCCTGCGCAAGGTGCCATTTCAGCAGGCCCAGGGGCTTACTCTTTGTTTTGCACTTCAACTGCCACCTCCACGTGAACACGGGGAGGCGGTGGACACGCTCCCCTCTCCCTTTCTGGCTCCACCCAAACCCGGGACACTGTGGATAGGTCAGTCCATGTCTGAGGTCTGTCCGTGTACACTTCACTGTCTCACAGAGACAGCAGCAAACCGCCATTTTGTCCCCAGTACTGCTCGGGCTCTCCTGGGCCCCGTCTCCTCAATGGCCGGGACACCCTTGGGTCTCCTCAGCCCATCTCCTGTCTATCGACACTGTTCCTGCTCGCCAGTCTCCTCTGTCACACACAATGCCATGATCACACGGAGCCCTCCCGAGGGC